TTTCCAAAGTAAACCTTTGAATTTTTCATTCTGGCAGTAGTGACATGCAGAGGTTATATTATAGAACTAGACTAATACCAGTTTGACCAGAGACTAATACCTGTTCATACCTAGCAAATAGAGACTAATACCAGTTTAGCACTAGTAAATAGAGACTAATAGTAGTTTAGCACGAGTGGTGGTGGGTAGTCAAGTTTTATTAACCATGGTTAAAAGAAAAAGGAAAGGCAAACTAAGTTTGGATGCGTCTGAACCCTTTATGAAACAGAAATGTATTGCATTCACATGTGTGCTACACAACCCAAAGGTACCAGGTGATAATCCTTTTACCTGTTTTAGTTCTGTAAAATGTATGCCATCAGAGAAGTTGTCATATTTACAAAAGATCCGAGACACAAGACTGGCTGAGCCATTTGATTCTCTGCATTGTATGAAAGATATATGTGACCTGCTGCCAGAAAGTCTAGAGGGTCTCGATTTGAATACAACTGGTTACCACTGGCGCTGCTACCAGAGCTTTACAATGTACCTGGATCGATTTAAGAATCAATCTGCTTATGCTCCAACTGAACCATCAACATCACTGAGACATCACTCTCCTCGCAAGCAAATGAATGCTGATCATGTCAAATTTCCATCAGATGAATGCATTTTCTGTGATGGGAATGAAATCAAGGTTGATGGAAAGACTCAGAGGCCAACCCACACGTTTACAGCTTGGAAGAAAAGGGAGTCAGGATGGAAGAAAATTGAATCAATGGCAGAAGCACTAGGAAACAGTCGTCTGTATCATAAAGTCAAAGATATTGATCTTTTTGCAGCTGAGGGGCACTTCCACGATGTTTGTTATTATCGCTTCTTTTGTGACTTCCATAATCACACTCAAAAAATGTACAACAGGGATACTAACACAAAACACAAAGCTCGAAACACAGTGCTGCTCACAGTGATGCATACAATGTTGTGAAGGAGCTGCTGAAGACCAGGGTCCTAGATAACCAACAAGTCATGCCCCTCAGTGAACTCAGTGACAGCTACATCGTTGAACTCAATGTGCAAGGAGCACCAAACCCTGACGATAGTTCTATAAAGCTTAAAGCAAGGCTTGAGAAGGATGAAGAACTAGGGGAAAAGCTTTCCTTCTCAAAAGTGGCTCTTAAGGAGCGAGCTAGGTTGCTTGTCATTCTGGGTAGTATACAGTTCTAGCATGACCCTCGGTGATGCAATAACATGTGCCCGAGGACAGCTGATCAGTTGAAGGACACCGCTTTGTACTTGAGACAGGTTATCCTAAAGGCTTTCAAAGGGTCAGCTGATCTGCCCTGGCCACCCACTGCTGATGACTTGGATAGGCAAGCCAAGGAGGAGTTTCCTGATGACCTCAAGTGTTCCTCTGCCTGGTGTTTTTTGGTTGTGGTTCTGAGGTGGAGAAGTCTGAAAGGATGCGACTTGTGTACTCTATTGGAGTAGATGTCTGTAGAGCAGTGACTAATGGTCAGTGGAAATTGTCAAAACATGTCGTCATCTATACCGCAGTAAGCAGTTAATGACAATCTTGAACAGACCAGGTCTCTGTGAGTCTTTGGGTTAGAGCTTGAGACTGCCATGGCAAAGGCACTAGATGATATTTCGACTTACCTTACTCCTAACATTATCTGTGGT